GACGCTCAGCTCCTTGTTGGAGGCTGGAGGAGCACCCTGGGGAAGCATCACATCCACTGCATAAATGGATGTTGGGGCTGACCTAGCATAGCCGTTCTCACACTGTAGTTCCAGGAAAAGGTAAAATAAGTAGCCTTTTGGATCAGGCAGGCATTCAGCACTGCTGGAGCAGGTGTTTTGTCCCAGGCTGCCAAGCCTACAGGTACCCAGAGCCCAGGACACCCCACAGGAGAGGGTGAGCCAGTGCTCAGGTCCCAGCCCTCCATCACACTTCAGAGCAGGCACAGCAGTGGGACACAGCCCTGAAACATGCAGAAGAGACCCCTGGCGTCAGACCCCCCCATATCCAACCTGATTACATAGAGGGGCACAGCTCCACCTGGAACAGCCCACACCAGTCCAGGTATTACAGAAAACTGTGGACATCCAGTGTTTATCAAACAGCTTTACAATTCAGGATATAAATCAGTCTGATCAGCTGCCAGCCCTGAATCAATAATACTCTTGTAGATGAGTGGCTAGAGTATTAAATGAAATCCTTACATAACAGACAATCCAAGCCTGTCCATTCCTACAGATTTACCGCTCTGCCCCCGGGTTTAAAGCAAGCCTCCTTGGCTCCTGGCCACAGTGCCCTGCTCCCATTAAACGCACGGGCTCACAGTGAGCTGCACGATGTGCCAGGCAACATGGAGCTCTTATGCCCAATGGATTTTTAGAGCAAATGAACACACAAAAAGGTTTAAAGGCAAAATGACCCTGGCTCATTACAGCATGAATAGACATCCTACAAAGCACTGCATCAACAGTAAACCAGGAGCTGGAGGGCTGCCTATAATTTGCATGAAGTTCAGCCACTTAAGAGCCAGCTTTAAGGTGATAAAGCATCAAACTCCAGCTCTCAGCATGCACAACTCTGCATCCGGCAACCTGCTGTCCAAGCAAGTTTTGCTCCTCCCATATTAGTGACTGGTATCACTACTTTACACTGTGGAGCTGGAGATCTCAAACAGCTTTGTAGCAGTGGGCTTGGTCACCATTTTACAGAAAAGAAAGCAAAGCAGAGAAGAACAAGATCTGTCCAGGCTGGCAAACAGGGGCACAACCCGGAGCAGACTCAGTGCTGGCTCTGTTCACTAGAGAACAACTCTCCGTAAGTCATATAGCGAGTCTGCTCTGGTTATAAGCAAAGCATATCTTGTTCTTGTACTAAAGGCCCTTTTTCTCCTTTTTTTTTTTTTAAATTGTTAACACATGCTCAGCATCTGTGCATGCACAATATGCATGTTACATTTAATACCAATTACAGGACTCACTATAGAGGTAAAATAAGAGTTACTCACTAAAGAAATTAACCTATCAAGCAGCTGGAGTCTCACTGGTCATGGGGATAAATATCTAGCAATGCTGAGGAAAAGTCAAATGAACAATATTAATTTGGTGTTTATCCAGTTTTAGACCATGCAGTCTCTACTTAAGTGCCTGGAAGAAAAAAAACCAACCCAGTTTAAGAAATGGAAATGCGGAATAATATTTGCCGTGGAAGTTAATGCTGCTATTGATCTTTCTGGATTAGTTCTGTTGGGACTTTTACTGCAAGAGCATCCCTCTGAAGACAGACACCCCTCCAAAGAAAAGGAGGCATTATCAAATATACAAGAGCTGCAACAAGTATCCGAGGGGATCAACACATGACACTGAGTGAATGTGACAAACTGGCTGAGATCCTGCCAGCAGTCTCTTCCAGACCTTCAGCTGCCTTTGAGACACTCACAGTACTGACGCAATCTCACCATCACAGCAACAGACCATGATTTCATGCATAAACTCAAGTACATCCCAAACCATTTTCTTCCACTGTAAGAGAGGCTTATTTAGGCTTTTTTACATATCAAACTGTTGCTTGGAAAATGGAAGTGGGGTCTGGAGATGCTCTAGTCTGGCAGCAGAGCAACTTAGGTCCCCGCTCAGGCTGAGAGATAATGCCAGAGGCACAATGCAGAGAATACACTGCATCCACGTATCTCATGTTCCCCTGTCTCCTCTCAGGTCACCTGAGATCCAGAAGGGATCTGCTAGTGATGAGCAGAAAACAGAGATTAACAGTAGAGGTGGTACAAACTCCATCATTAGGAGCCTTAAAAAAATTACACTAGACAAATTCCTGTTGGGAAAATATTCAATCCTTCCTTAGATCAGACCCCAACCACGCTCGGTTCCAGTACTCTTACTTAAACTCTTAAGACAACAGGAGGGATGGGAAAAGAAAGACCAAAGCAGCACACACAGAGGAAGACAGCTGCCTCCACATTCACAACCAAACAGGGTTACTTTCTGGTAGCACAAGGGCCCAAAATGAAGTAAATTCTCTCTGGTTGGAGGAGGAGAGAGAGACTGCTCACACCACTCCTGCTTCATGCAAGAGTACGGGAGCCTCGGTCTTCCCAACAAAACAGGGGAAGAAATGCATAAAAAAAGACTTTAGGAGTAACGGAGAGGGAAACTTCAAAACAGAACGTATCAGGCAGCAATACAGCATAAAGAAAGTGTGTGTAAGGTATCTGGAGGAGAAAGAGGAAAGGATTGCTACACCGACAGCCAGAACGCCTACTGATACACTGATAGGCAAAGCACTGATAAGGACAGAGGAAGAAGGTTTTATTTCAGTCTCCAACCCCACTAATTGATTGCACAAGCAACCCAAGTGACTGCCATCCCTGGCTCCCAGCCATTTTTGATCCCTGGTGAAGGGTGAAGAGCTCAGCCTTTTTTCAAGGCGGCACCTTGGGACGCATCTCACCCCCTCACCACATAATCAGGCATGTGCATACCTGCAGTTTGAGACTGGTTTTGGCACTGCACAAATGTGGCTTAATATTAGCCCAAGATCCAAATGCCAATCCCCTTGGCTAGCCATGCAGTCAAGAGACACTACCTAGCAATTTAGCTAATACTAGGTTAGGGTTAACTCAGCTTGATACTTGTTAAACACATGCCCACAACAATAAACAAAGACACAAATCACATTCACTCACACACTAATTAGGCTTATCAGGGAAGGGAAAGCCAGAGAAATACAGAGATTTACCAGGAAAAGATTCACTTATACATGCGAGGGATCCAGAGAAGACAGCACATTTGATGCAACAGCACTTCAATAGAAAGCATTCCGGGGGGGGAAAAAATGCACCACCATTCAGATATTTTTGCTTAGTGCTCACCCCATCTAGTAATTCAGCTGAGACAGTGCTGGCCCACGCAGCCTGAGGCACAGCTACTCCCTGTTCAGACATGATCACTTTGTTTGATCACACTCCACAGCCCCATGGATTTACTTAAGGCTTGAGAAAAATATTAAGTAAAAGCCTAGTACCATATCAACTTAACAGCTCTACTGCCAAAGCAGGTCACTAAATTAAGCACATTAATGCCAACTGTGAGACAACTCTTTTCCCAAAACCAAGTTTTAGTCCTCCTGCTGTGTCCATTTATTTGTCTCCGACACTGAGAAACAAAAGGTTACTATCAGTGGCCTGGAAGACAGTATAGACAGAGGAATTTAACTCCTAACCATTTTGAGCCGCCACAGATAGCACCATTTTCTGCAATGCCTTAACACAATTAAAAATCCCAGTTTCTTAGTGGCACGTCTTACAATGCAGGGCAAAGGCTGCAAAGGTCACTGCTCTGGGCTCACTGTCTGCTTTCCCAGCAACTCCAGTTTAAACCATTTCCCTAATCCCCTATCTCCCCAGCATAAAAGCACTCTCCTTGCTAAATAAGCAAACTGCTGTTTAGATGGCACAGAGGCTAAAGCACATCTGACCTCCGTGAACACCAATGCCATTAAGGGTTAGATTGTTTCCAGTTCATTAGCTCATGATGCGCTGGAGCTGGAAATGTGTTTAATGTCTGCTTTAATAAGATTATGGCAGCTTAAAAAAAATATATATATTTGACAAATAAGGATTTGTTGCATTGGGGTTCATCCAGCTGCCTCCTACCTCTGTTACTCAGACCTTGACTCAGAACTGAAAGCACACCTAAACCAGGCACACAGATAACCCAACCCAGCTCACTACACGCCAAATCTCAAACCAAAGCAAGACAAATCCACTGTAGGTCTGAAAAACACCTATGTTCACTGGGGTAGTCTTACTCAGGTTACATGGTGCAAATGTACCCAGACTGCTTCCTACCCCTGTGGGCAAGTCACCAGGGTGCTAGGGATCTGCGTGCTGCGCTCCACTCCCTGGGAGCAATTCCCAGGCTGGTGATTACATTCACTTCTCAATGCCTGGCTGCCACCAGCGTAAGACCACAGCACCAAGCTCCTCTCCACTGCCGCGGTCTCCTTGCTAAGTGATTCTCTCATTGCAGCTTATGCCCAGCTCACACCCCAGAGCAGAAGCAATGTGCTATTACTCACACTCTGGAGCCTGACCGTGTTAGTACTAGAATACCTCCTCGTGAGCAGCTGCGGCATGGGGAGGACTACGCAGAGTGCTTCCCTCTTGACCTAACTGCAATTAAAATGTCACCAATATTAAACCATGACATACTCTGGAGAATACACAAATGGGATGACACCAGGCTACGGCCTGCAGCCCTGAGAGTTTTGCACTGAAATTCAGTAGGGTTGGGAAGCGGGTGGAACAAACGCCTTCTTGAAAGGGAGCCTGAATCAATTACAAAGCAGTGGCACACTTTACATCCTTAAAACAACTTTTTGGTTTTCTTCTACAGACAGAAAAAGCATGGAACAAACACATCCGCTGACCATGGGGATTCTACAGCATGCAGCAACATTCATTTTATAGCAGCAGAAACCTGCTGAAAGTTGGTACAATAGCACTGGTTAAATCCTCTTGGAGTTTTAGGACTCAGCACTGGGAGCTCAGTGATCCAAGCATTACAAGCACAAATGATCAAGGCTTTGCAGAGATAAGCACAGCTCCAATTATTTCGCATCAGCTGAAGCTAAAGAGGTTGCCGCTTACCAAGCTGTCCAGTCCTCCTCCCAGGAGGTCCACAGCACCCATCTGCATGGAGGACACTTGGGGAACATTCACTGGGGGTCCCAGATCCAGGTTGAGAAGGTCACCCAGAAGGTCACCCTGCGATGGAATGACCTGCGGCTGCTCCAGGTTTGTAGTGGCTGTTGTGCCCATGGGGCTATCACCTGCATCAGTGCTATGGGTGGGAGGAACAAGAAGCAGAAGAGAGAAACATTAGTCACCTTTGGTCTCCAGCTTCAGATTCCCAGCGTGGGGAAACACAGCAAGAGGTGGCTGACGAGCAGAAGCCAGTTAAAAGCTTATTCTAGTAGCTGATCTGACCACTGCCACGTACAAGGCAGTGTGTTATGGCAAGTGGTTCTTCAACACATGCTTTGAGCACAAAGCCTTTCCATGCATCGTGCATGGTTTTCAGTTCAGAAAAGGGAATCTTCAGGTGTGAAATCTGCCCACCTTGAGAATCACAGACCCTTCCAAAACCGTAAGCCATGAGTACTACGTGGACTACAGCACTGAAAATAATTATTTCCCAGCTCAGAAGAAACCTATAGAGATGATTTTCAGCCCACTGGGCCTGGAGAACTACATGTAAACATGGTGGTGGTGGGGTGTAAATCCTGATTTCCTCAGAGACCTAACATTGATAAAACCCTTGAGTCCTCACTCTAACCAGTGCAAGCTCAACCACTCCCCACAGACCTGGATTAACTACCTCCTACTGACCAGCACCAAGCTCCACAACTCTTTTCTAATTAAAGACCTCAAACTAAAATTGATTCCTCCCTTCTATCAACAATTTCCTTTCCTCTGAGTTAGCAGGCATGCCAATTACTAGTCTAGAAACGCTCATTATACAGCTTCTAAAATTTCTCATCATACGCAGTCTGGCTACCTTTTATATTCACTTGCCACTGAATTTTACAACAAGGAGGGGGAAAAAAAAAAGTCAGACTGACTGTAGCTCCTGGAGATCTCATTACAATGTATTTATTCTTTAAATCCAGAGACACTAATATTGTAGATAACTTAAAATCTATTTTGTATCCTGTTGCCAGCAGTAACTGACAAAATTATTTCTAGCTCTTATTACTGCAGATGCAGCCAACAGGTAATTGCACACAAATGCCCTGGGAATTAGCATCCTGACAAGGTGTTTAACACGGGGGCTCTTTTGTAAGGATTGCAGCTCCTGATTTTGAGTAGCCACGATTCTCTTCCTTACCCTTACTCAGTTACTGGGGGGAAAGCTTTAGCAACAGAGTATAAGCTACTCCCAACTTCAGTGCCAAGAGGAAAAGATGTAGTATAAGGACTGCAGAATGAATTAGTTACCAGGCAGCGACAGAAAGGGTTGAAAGCTTCTTTGCATTAAAAGCTTTAGACCCCTAATAGTACTAATATTAGTTGTCCTTTCTGCTTCTGCCTTCAGAAGGGAGACTTCTGAGTATGCAGAACAGCTAACTAAAACATTTTTGAAGAGCAAGTGATTACCGTGATCCACTCCCACCCCCAACCTGAGAATGGGGAAGAACAGCATGTATGAGCAGAGGCACCATTACAAGCTGGTAGTGCACACACTTGGTTCGTTCCCAGTATGTAATAATCCCTTTAACACTACACCTCTTCAACACTTACTCATCCTTCTTCTGATGGAGATAAAGCAATCCTTCAAGGTCTTGTGTAACTGCAGTTGCCCCGAAGCCCAACAAGAAATTAGGAAAGGACAAAACTAAGTCAGTTTGTATTAAAAAACAAAACACCAAGCCTTCCATTTCTTGTACAGAATGGGCCGCTTTAAAGAGATTTGTATAAACAACTTTGCATTTTCTTTGAAAGAAAAAAAATGAATAAAGAATATGTGGGTTATAAAGGGCAAAAAGACTCGATATAAGCTTTCTCCCTTATAGTCTTGGGCAGTGGCTAGCAGCTGGGTTTGCCCATGTGAGTTGGAGATTTGGCCCTCCTATGAGTTCAGCCTCCAGCGGTTCCCAGATGTTGGGTGTCACAAGGGATGCACAGCCTGAAACCAGAAAGAAAAATTTCCTGCAGCCACCTGTGTGGGAATGCGGACTCCTGCCAGAGTCTAACCAGACTCCTCCTCTCCCAGGAGCCCTGTAAACATCTCCCCAAATTTCCCAGCTGCATTATAGCTAAGCAGGGGTGGTGGGAGCCACCACATGAGGAAACACTGCCAAGCCATCAGGAGATTTCTTCCCCACCTTTAGGATTCATCTGCAACTCTATGACACTTGAGCTCATTGAAGAGGCAGGAACATCTCACCATCTGTGAGCTGTTCAATGGGTCTTTCCATCAGCTGAGAGCTGAAAGGAACCTGTCCTACACTGCTCTGAATGAAAATGAAATGAATCAAAATGCAATGTAGTATATTTTGCCAACCATAACTAACTCCTCCTAAGTTTATACCCAGGAAAGCACCACTCATCTAGCTACTTCTGCCCATCTACTCAAGGCAATGCTATCTTGACTCTCTTAAGCCACGTTCATTGTGGACACCTCCACACCTCCACCTCTATCTCCTGTGCAATCTGAAGGAAAACCTCAGTCTTTAGTGGACAGGTCAGCCATCAGAACAGTCATTACCGGAGTGCAGAAGTAATGACGATAACTCCAAATAGCTAGGCGAGGAGGTTATCTTTCACTGGACACCCCTAACTTGCCTTAAACTGACAGATTTTCATGTATCTTTTCATGCACATTCAGCACCAGAAAGAGGCAAACCAATTTCTTAGTAATCAGTGAAATCATACCGGATGCACAAATTCAGGCTCCCCACAACCATGCTCCTGCAGAGCTGCTCACTGTAATTCTCATGGCTGAAAGTGGCAATTTGGTATGCTGTGACATGGTACAAGGAGGCCTTGGCATCAGCTTACAAGGTTTTACTGTCCTTTTGCTAACAGTAAAGCAGAAAACCACAATAACGGGGCCTCTTTATGAGGTGAGCTCACATCAGAGAAGCCTGGTGTGCCATTAAGTAACACCACTCATTTTTTTAATTTACCAAATGGGCTAGAGCACTGCATCAGTATGCAGCATGCTCTGCTGAGCACCCTTCAGACCTTCCTCCAGCTCTGGCTTCCTCAGCTTGCCACTGCTGATTGAGGCCTGAAGGTTTTATGTTGAAGTAAAGGGTAATTTAGTAGTAAACACCACCAGGGCAATGTACAATACTGCTACAGTTGGAAAAGATTTGAGGTCATCAGGCTGTCTGAGCATTAGCTATAAGAGTCAAGCCATATGACTAGGCTGACTAAAACCCCCTAAAACGTTAGCTTCTGTAGTGATCTGAAACAGTGTACAGGAAGGCTGGTAACACTGGAGACCAAAGCTACCCCCACCCCAGGTCATTTTGCTATTGAGGCAAATCTTTGACTAGAAGACGTAGCTAAGGAATGTAGCCACTGCTTTTCTTGTCTGACTGGTAGGCTTGTGCTTGCTCGTCCTGGGTCAATGCAGCCAGACTTACTTTCACAGGCAGGGAGAAAACAACTCGGCTTCCCAAAGCTAGTCATTACAGAAATAGCTGTAGTTACTAAGAATAGCAGAGAAGTGATGTCAGGAAATAGAAAAGGAGCAGCATCGCGCACTGATTTATCAGTGCAACAGCAAAAAATAGCACTCCAAATGTCACTTTGGGAATATTATTAAGAGGTAAGCCTGGATACTCTGCCTCCTGCTGTAAAGCACACTTGCATTTGTAATTAATACCATTGGTGCAAATAGCACTGCTTACCTGAATGAGGAACCATGGGAACAGGCTCAACAGTAACACCGCCACAGCCCGGGACTACTATAGTGCCTGCTCATGCAGATCTAACTCACTTCCAAGACTGGGATCACGGGGAAGCATTAAAGCTCCAGACAATAAGCCAAAGCATTTCGCACCCCCCTCCACCCCAAAGGTTAGACAGAACCATGTCAGTCTAGCCATCTTTTAAGCCCAAACAGTTTTCAGTGATGGGGCTTAGATGGCTTTTACACTCCCCTTGCTTTATAGGCACCAAGTGAGAAAGGTAGTTTTACCAGTCCTTCCCCATTTCATATTCCAACAGCAAAGGATCCCTGTACTTGCCAGTTCCAGGAAACTGGTATTATTCTACACAAATGAAGTTTGTAAAGCTGTGCTGTTGCTGAAGCAAAAGCTCTTACAAAATCGAAGAAGTGTATCCTTCTGTAAGATGCTTGTTTTTACCACACTCAGCCTCCTCCTGAAAGTATACCCTTGCACCAGTTACCCAAAGCTTCCTCTTTTTTATTCACACTCTCATGTCAAGAGGGCTTATAGCCAGTGTCTTTACAAAAAACATTCTAGCTTCTCCTCACACAAGAACTTTGATACTTCCCCTGTCTTCCGACCCAGGAACTCAGAAACTACATACCCAGGACTAAATCCTACAATGAAATGGCTCCTTGGATGACCTGCAAGCCCCTACACAATCAATAGAAAACCACTAGAGTGTTATAAAAAATCCTTGCATCTTTTGGACTGTTTGCTAGAAAGAAACAACCGATCCTTCCATTATCACCACAGATGCCTCAGCTTACCTCCCATGGTGAATTGGCAAGTGTTTGCGGTGGATCCCATGGCTCCCCTCCACAAAAGCGTTTGGTGGTTTGTGGTACACAGAAGCCAGAGACCCAATATGGCAGATCAACTCATCTAGTAGAGTCGGTTCAATCAGATCAGTCTCTTCAGAAATAAGTGGCTTTTCTGAGAGGACCACTTCTTTGGCAGTCACTGGATCCGTGGAAAGAAGGCGCCAGTAGATGTAGCCACGATCCCGCAGGTCTGGGTTATCAGAATCCTGAGACAAAGCAATACATCAGTCACAGGTTTGAAGGGGACTAACACCTGTAATCACTTAATTTTTCTAGCAGTGATTCTGCTGGATTAAAAAATCCCAACCATCCAGTAGCAACACAGTCACCAATTTCAGAATGATGTTACAAACTGCTCGTTGTGATGAACATTCCAAAATTAAAAATGAGAACCAAAGTATTAATGCCTAGTTTCCTGCTCAGCTGGTCAGGGAGGAAAAAGTCCAGGATTTATATCCCACAACTGTCCCAACCCACAGAGCTATCAACCACTTTCCAAACTCTCCTGCCACTTAACATAACAGTAAGTATTAGGAGAACTCCAAGGGGGTGCAGACAGGAGAAAAGAACGTGGGTTGAAATTACTCTGTCACATACTAAGAGTAGACACGCAATACTGCATATTGTAACAGAGTGATCCAAGATTCCTGGAAACATATGACTTACCCAAGGGCACTGCTGGACAAAAAGACCCTGAAGAGCTACAGGATGGATCTTAATAAGTCACATTCTTCATACCAAAAAAGATCTTATTTATCCTGCCTTTTAGTTATCTAATGAAGTATGGAAAGATGCTAATGATACACAGTTAGGATACATCATCAGTTCTCCAGCTGTCAGTAATACCCTTGTTTTACTGCAGATCAGGCAGGGCTTCTGCAAGGGCAGACATGAAAGACCACACGCTCCTATCTACTTGCAGGCACATACAGATTCAAGACTGACTGTTTCTTCTCACAGCCAAATAAACAGACTTGAAACTTTAGTAAATCTACTGGAACAAGAGGCTCAGATCTTCTCTTTCCACATTTCTCCCAATTCTGCACTCCCCAGGGTCTGCATGCACCCCTGTGGTGCATACCAATGAACCCATGCTAGCTTAGTTACCCACCATGCCAGACAGACAACAGCAATGGAAATGTAGAGGCTCTGTGCCATCCATTAGGTTATGGGCTTGCCAGGGACCTTGATCCCTGCTACACATCTCTGTCCCTCCCATCCCCAGCTGCTTTATTGCTATTTTTACCAGCATTGGCTGGATTAAGCTGGCTCCTGCTACAATCACACCTGCAGTTTGCTATGCAGACATACCCTAAGAGACACTCAAAGTGCAACAATACCTGAGCTGGGGAAAGAAACACACATGCAACTCCTCTCCCACTCAGGTGAAAACCAGTATCTCTACTTAGAAATCAGACCTTGAAGCATAGGCTTTTTAGTGTTTTACAGCCAGTTATCCTACATTGACTTATTATTCCTATAAAATACAAGAACCCAGACTGAATCAACATTTGTGACAAACAAAAAACAGACACCTATTATATTCCTAGGGTGCCATTAAGTGTTTTGTGACTCAGCATAGTGGGTTTTAACACTTAGTACCTTTCTTCTGTTGGCTTAGGCAAATGATATAGCATGCCCTTGGCCCACCACTCTCTAAGGAAGAGCTCAGAGCCTGCCTAATAGCAGGTTTTGAAGCAACAAAAGCAGGCCACAGATTTCTTGCCACTGACCAATGCAACACACCCAAAGGGATGAATAGAAGTTTTAAGTACTAATAAGTCCACAGACATGACTTCTTGCAGCAAAGAGGACCAAAAAGGCCAGCTGATGATTGACTCCAGGTTTTCTGCTCAGAAACAATCACAGCCCCTTCAGAACAGCTGGGAGACTATTTTCGTCACTTGACACAGCAGGTCTGGAGAGGAGCTGCTCTTTTTGGACTACTCCATCACACATTTACCCCAGTCATTACAGCCAGGGAGTGTAGGAGGATCAGCTGAGGTCTTACCCACTCCTGCCACCAGGACATCTCCACTTCTGTCCTCCAGAACTTCTGTCTGCCAGCTCAAGCCCAGCCCAGCCTGCAGTGATCTGAGCTCATAACTCATCACCTCATGCATAATGAATCCAGGATCTTAACCCACCGTTACAGCCTCCAGCAAAGCTGCCACATTGGTTGACAGCATCCAAGTACAAAGGAAAAAAAACCACAAGCCTCAGTTCTTTCTTTTTCATAGCGCTGCTTAGGCTTTGCTGTTCACAGAACAAAGTCTTTACCAGGCCCTTTCTCTCTGTCATAGCTCCAGATGTTTTAACTGCAAGCCACCGTCAAGGAGAAAGCATTTTGGTTTCTTCATAACTCTACCCTGTCCCTAACTTTTCATTTGGTGGGGGAACGGGGAAGGAATTAGGATGAAGCAAGAGCTAAGAAGGAGAGAGCAGATGCCGGATGGCATGGTAACAGGCACAGAGCAGCTCTTAAATGGAGTCTCTTTGGGAGAGAGGGGAACGAGCTTGAATTCTATCTACTGCAAAGCTGATTGGCCTGGCAGATGGGAGACACCACACGGCAGGCCAACACAGTGTCTGGAGGGCTCTGGTTCACTCGATATCTTGGCTTACCTGC